AATCTCCGGGCGCCGATAGCGCGTCGCTTCGCGAGACTAATCACCGCTTTCTCGTTTTCCTCCCGATTCTCGGATCCCCCTTCGCTCAAAATCCATGAAACCATGCTGGACAAGGGGACACGCTTCGCGAGTGGAAGGATTAACCTAAACGCATCGATAAATTAGCGGTGGATAGCGATTTACATATTTAAGAAGAAGACTCGAGTGTAAGTGGATAGTGAAAATGCATAGGTAGATAAATCGATCGAATTATGAAGTACATGTATGGTATTATAGTCGACGGAGCGACCATCTGGACGAAAAGGAAGCGCTGGATTTCCCAGTAACCGGACAGATACGTAATCGTTATCAAAGTCAAACGTGACTATCTCTAGGTGAGCGATTATATCAGGACGAATGAAGCTTCTTCCGCGAGGAAATGTTCGCTGTGCTTCGAAAATCGTTCAAAATGAAGAGAAAATGGGGGTGAACGTGTCCAGTCACCAGAACCAAAGTTAGGCAAAATGTAAGCCAATAAAAAAGTAACAATTACGATTGGAAAGCTTTCGTATTAATGTATTGATTATAGAAGTTTAACAACTGTAGATGTACATTTACCAAAAGAAAGAAATGTTTAGATCTCAAGAGATTAAAATAATAATAGTTTCGAAATTTGTTCGAGTAAATTCCCCTCCCGCTGAAAAAATTAAGTTAAAATACTTTGACAGTTGCTAAACTCTGAACAAATTTTTTGCCACACCACCACTCTCTCTTTAACACTGCTTTACGGAAACAGAAGGAAAGCAAAAGACTAAATTTTAAATGTTATCGAGTCCAGAAGGACAATATCGCGGCGAGTCGGTGACGTTCCTCCTAGGAAACGCTCGGGTTTAGTGTACCACAGAGAAGAACCGTTAGGGTACTAAACTTTTATTGCGAACCTCCTTTCTATCGAAGTTCTGCGCGTTCGTTGGCGCACGGGAACTAAATAATCGCCGCGCGAAAAATTGGAAAGGTACGAGACGGGGCACCGTTTCTGTTCCTCGAGATTAGAACTTCAGCCTGCGTTCCCATTCCTAAGCGTGCGAAATGCGAAACTAGCATATATCATTCCTCTGGTAGATACACAGGAAAGATGAAAATCCTATCCTACGTTAAAAATGATATCGGAACGAAAGGTCAGCGAATGGTGTTCCGTCGATTAATTTTACAAATCTTTCTCAACTATTTCCATCCGAAGCGAATAAGTGCAAATAAGCATAAAGATTATTAAAAAGAAATAATTAAGAGAAATCATGGCAAACAAGCAAAACGATAAAGAACCCGTATATAGCACGACTTGGTCTGAAATCTGGGTGTGTTGGTAAATATAAACAAGATCTCAATAATCGCAAATCGAAAACCCAACATCTGGGAGAACAACGCGTTTGTTGATCTACGTTCGTTGCAGCTCGTTCGTGTCCCTTTTTTAGCGGCTCATCGATCGGTGAAGTTTGTACCTGTGGCTGAAAAACAGCCAATTGCGCGAGCGCGGAGAGACAAAAAAAAAAAAAAGAGGAGCTTCGGCGAGTTGATACAGCGTGAAAAAATAATCCTGTGTGTACTACGTTTGTTATCGAGATACGTTGTTACGTTTCGGTACAGTTTATTAAAAACAAAAAACAGTCACGAATATGATACGAATCACTGTAATATCTTGACGGATAACGACACATATATGTGCTTCGATTTGTACGTGTTCAATTGGGGCAAACAAAAATATCTTTAAAATTCACCCCTCGAGAGGTTAACGTAAACATTTAATCAAATAAAACTGCTCGTGAACACGTCCTTGGATGTCTAGAGATTTATAAAAACTAAACGCCATTGCGATAAACGACACGGTCCCAAAGTTGCGCTACTTGATACGAGGCGATTCCTGTTCGCGCGTTTTGCAAATGGCTCCGCGAGTTGCGAAGAGTTAAAGTGGTTACACGGTGCGAAATATTTCATTTCGCGCTTCGAATTCGAGTCTCTGTTTAGACGGTAACGGATAAACAGTCGTTTATCGTTCGCTGGTTACTCGTAATTTGTATCTGGATAAGAAAGTTCGGGGATCTCTGTCCTGCGGACGGCATGGAGCGAACGTTGGGTCTAGCGCGATAAGTTCGCGTAGGGCGAGGGACAAACAGAAAGAAAAGAAGAGAGAGTAAGAGAAGCGAGGGTCACGGAGGTAGAGGGGGGAGAGAGCAAGAGAGAGACGAAGAGAGAGCGAGTTGGCAGCATCTACGGACCTATAAACACGGCGCACACACAGAGATCGAACGCAGCCACGGTTGTCGGTCTCGTAACCGCGGTACAACGACCTCTGGCCTGCCATCGAACGCGCCTTCGCACTAATTACGATACCCTAAGTATCGGGGTCTGCCTTGGAAAATGCATCGAGTGCCACGATCGTCGAAAACATTCGAGCGATCCTCGAACTACGATAGTTTCGGCGACGAACCAGAGATATTATATGGTAAATGGAACAGGGGATAGAGACCCTCTAGGCTCTACTTTACTTGATCTAGAATGTCTCTATGATCGAACCTTGCCTTTGGAAAATGCATCGAGTGTCACGATCGTCGAAAACATTCGAACGATCCCTCAACTACGATACTTTCAGCGACGAAGCAGAGATATTATATGGTAAATGGAACAGGAGATCGAGACCCTCTAGGCTCTACTTCACTCGATCTATAACGTCTCTATGATCGAACCTTGCCTTTGGAAAATGTATCGAGTGCCACGATCGTCGAAAACATTCGAACGATCCCTCAACTACGATACTTTCGGCGACGAACACACAGGTGGCTCCTCCCGACGAGTTTCAGTGAAATTGTTCCAAGAACAAGAAAAAAAGCTACTCCGAAGAAAGTCACCATTGAAACGTAAACACTGGGAGCAAGCCGACTGTTTCTCGCTGCTGAACTTTCCCTATAGAAGTCTAAAACATATCAAATTTTAACACATCGCGTCCGGTTAACGCGAATTCACCCAATTTTGAATTCTATTGCTATTGCTGTGTATTCGCGTCTTTACAAATCTCTTACCGAATGCAATATTACCATACGTAGGCGATATCGTACCTTACTCGAATATGAATAATAGTGTTATAATAGGAGACTGGTGCCGCAGTGTATGTTTTGATGTTTTCGTATTTGAATTCTAAAGTTATGGAAAATGGAGAAATATTGTCGATATACTAATACTCAAATAAAGTCGAGCAAATAAACTATTTGTGAGTTCTGCTGGCTCGTCCCCTGAAAAACACACCCTGTTTTCAACGTGTACGTCGGAAAACATAATATCCGAATAACACAGGACTTCATAACAAGTCCTGGTCAATAATATTTGTTCGTTATACGAATGAAAAAACAATCCTTCACGCACGCACGTGCTTGTGGCGCGTATGTGCGTGGAACATTGTATCTGGTACTTATGTACCGTGTATGACAAAATTGTGATACTCGACGTATAGAATATATGGCTTTTGAGCTATAAATTACTTTTATGCGATCGTACAGTAGTTGCCGATTGTGTGTGTGTGTGCAATGTATGGTTCATGTACGATGTATGATTTATACGTATTGTGTGATAATTAAACCCCGAATTGAATGCACTTATGATTTGAAAAGACATGTGCACTTATGGAAAATGGAATAATAATATTATTACATTAATTTTGGAGTATATTGATGCATTATGTATATTTTATGTACAGTGGGTGTAGAAAGTATTCGTACACCGATCAATTTCCAAAAAAACTATGTAAAATTGTAATTTATTAACTTATTTTTAATAATGAATGACATTCTACATATTCTCGGAAATGTCTAGAATAGATAGAGTACAAAACAAAAATAGCTATTTATGTAAGTAGCGAAATTAACAAGAAAAAAACAATTAATCGATAGCATTATTGCAACTCTTCTAAGCGTTAAATTAACTAAATTATTAGTGAGAAGTTAATAAGAAGTGAAATCTTTTTCCATTCCTCTATTACAGCCATTTTTAAAAGTACTTTACTGGAAATTTGATGTTTTCTAATTCGTACGGAGCAATAAACTAATGTGTTTACGTTACAAACTCTACTGTAAATGGTTCGTCATAAGAATCGTACAAATACTTATTGCTTCTATACTTTTACCCACTTTTCGTATTATTTTGTTAATTTCACAAATTATATTGACTAGTAAATGTTGTTTGGACTATATCTATCTTAGAGACTTGTAAAATATGTAAAATATCATTGATTATAAAGAAAAGAAGTTAGGAAACTACAATTTTACACAAAAGTGTTTTAGGAAATTGATCGGTATACGAATACATTCTACACCCACTGTATGTCTCCTATGTTATTCTAGGTCATAAATACTTAAAATCCGCAGATAGCTGTTCAATTCTGAAATGTATCGCGATTTTGGAGTAATTTGGATTCGCCTAAACAAAGAGTCGCGAGTAAAATTGCATTGAAATCTAGGACTCGAGGAACCTAAACCTTCGGAGGACAACAGAACTATTCTGTCAACAAACCGACAGAAATACTTCCCCTGCTCCCATAATAGGTGGAAAAGTAATACCGACTTTTCGGCAAACGATAGAAAAGTACTTGTAAAAGGGAACTCATGGGGAAGAAATGAGATTCCACGATATATTAGATCTACCAAAAAGTTCTGTCCATTACGGTTACAACAAGTTTCAACGAGTATGCGCATATTCGTCAAAAATGATATACAAATTGCAATCACGCTGGCAAGAATGTCATAAATAATGATAAAAATTATATTATTCAATCGAATTTATTCAAGCTATGAGAAATTTATTATTTCGTTTTATTCTAAAAACGGACAGAACTTTCCGATAGACCTAATATTTGTAGTGGCAAGGTAGATGCACACTAGATGGTTTTCTAGTTTTTCTCTGTCCCGACTCGTCCTCTCCCTCCTCCTTGAGGCGTTCCGCGAACCAACGACAGAAGCTATCTCGGTCTCACTCACCTGTCAGAACTCTCGGAGCTGTCGTATCGATCGGCGCACCGCTTCTTCCCACAAGGGCCGACGAGGGTGTCCTCGGCCGTCCTAACCTGTCCCTTGAAAGGGCTGCCCTGATGCCTGGCGGCGACGAGGCCATTTGCAGTAACACCAGCGGCACCAGAAGCAGAAACAGCGGCGGCGGCAGCAGCACCACTACCACTACTACCACTACTACCATCACTACTACTACCATCACTAGCAATGTCGTCTGTCTTTTCAGCGTCGTCTACTCCTCTCTCGGTCTCGTTGTTATCGCATCCAAGACGATTCACTTTCTGTAACGCGTCCCCGTTGTCGTTCGTTGCATTCGAGTCGTGGAACACAGACCTCAAGCGTCGGCCGTCGGCGGAGGAGGCATTGTCACCCTCGACACCACTGCTCCGATTATTATTATTACTATTACCGCCACCGTTCCCGTTTTCACCGTTCTTCACCGTCTTTGTTACATCGATACGAACAACGCGACACTTTTTCGAATCACCGTTCTCATCCACCGACGTATCCTCCTCGTCCTCGTCCTCGTCGTAATCCTCCCGGTTCGCCGACGCGAACGAAAGAACGCGAATCGCGTCGATACCAGCTCCGTTTCCACTCTCGTTTTTCCCAAATCGCTCGCTACCATCTACGACGACCACGACGTCGTCGTTCTCGCGACGATGGTAATGATGATTGTTGCCGTTGTTATTATTGTTGGCATTACCCGGATGCCGACGAGAAAGATGAGAATGAGCATGACCGTTGCGACGCGGAGGACGATGTTGATGTTGTTGATGCAGTCGATGATAAGGATGACTCTCGAACTTTGAAGCGTCTTCGTTGATGCGTCTCGCGGTGTCCTGAACCGTGCCGAAGGACGTCATCGAGGACGGGGCGTCTTGACGTTTGTGTCGCTCCCTCCTCAAACGAAAATCACAGTCCCCTAGGTCGGTGGTCGCGTCTTCCGCGGACGGACCGTCTGCCATCTTGTAAACGAACGCACTATTGCTTGGCAGAGGTCCTATGGCACGAGCACGGGCCGCGCCACCGCTAGCTCGCTTCTACGGCCCGGCACGGCTCACTTAACCCCTCTTTTCTTCACCGTACAAAACCACCGCCACCTCTCGCCGACGGCTACCCACTGACGACGGCCCCCTCTCTCCAAGCCGCCGACGCCTGCACGGCTGCACGCGAAGACCACCGAAAACGATCGAGCTCGTCCGAAAGTCCTCGAATCTTCACGAACGCCCTCCCCTTTCGCGGTCGGGCCGACCGCTCGCGACATCTACCGAACTTTTTGGTAATAGTCTTCCTCGCGGGAAGATTCGAATAAACTCTATGATCTTCCGATATATTCGAAACAAAAAGATTATTTAATAACAGTAGAATCTCGTTTATCCGAATAGGATCTGGGACAAGATAGTTCTGATTACCAAGTGGTTTAAATAATATCTATCCCCTCCATGAGCTCTCCACCATGGATCACCCTCTCGACCATGATTCGAGTAATACTGGATTTTATGCGAAAGCTTATATGCGATTTACATCAGAAAAATCCCTTTAAATTTAAAAAATATTGCAGGCGTATTGAGATATTCATGAAAGTAGTTTCAGGTTAAGTTGGAATGAACTATCTCTCCTGTAAAAGATACGTGGTAGCTCCAACGTCAGTATATCTATACGCGGTGACGGATAATTTTTCATGTACTTGGCGCCGAGACGCTACCGCGTCTCTAGATCAGCTATACAGGGTGTCCCAAAAATGTTGTAACACCTTGAAAGAGGTGGTTCGGGAGGTGATTTGAAACAACTTTTTCCTTAGCGAAAATGTTGTACGAGGCTTCGTTGAGGAGAAAGTAACGGAAAACACTGACCAATCAGAGCGCGCGTATACCGTTGGAGCGGCCGCGGTAGCGTATAAGCGCGGCCGCCTAGCGCGTAGCCTTCGCTCCCGCGGTCGCTCCACTAGCATCCTCACGCTCTGATTGGTCAATGTTTTCCGTTAATATCTCCATAACGAAGCCTCGGACAACATTTTCGCTAAGGAAAAAGTTGCTTCAAATTACCTCCCGAACCACCCCGTTCAAGGTGTTACAACATTTTTTAGGACACCCTGTAATTTTGTATGTCCAAGGTTGGTATAACTTTGTTTATATGAACGTGGTCCAGATAAACGAGGTTCTATTGTGTTTTGCATATTAGAGAAAGGGTGAATCGAGGAAATGTTAAATCATAAACAGAGCGATTTGGTAAGTGGTAAAAATATTAATACTTTGAATTTGAAAGTCACTTGTTTATTCAGAAGAAATCATCATTTCTGATAGACATTCCGAGAAGTACTTCAATACCGTAATACTGTTAAACGAATTGCTGAACCATGAGCACCATAAGATTTATTCACACTCTGGAATGTAATTCCAAAATGAAAGACAAAATATCTAACGTGAACTATGCACAGGCAGTAACAAGTGTATATTAGGCTATGCGATTGCGTTTCTCTAAGCGTACGCAATACGCATACGATACGCGCGATACGACTGTACGTTTCATAATTCTTAGAATGTTTATTTCGTTGATAATTCGTGGTATAAAATTTACTGGGGTGCGATGGCGTTTTTAAGTTTATCCTAAACTTTCCACTTTCTTTGCGTGACAATTCGCGGTTAAGCTACAATCGTTGAAAAGTAATCGGAAAATCGTAATTACAAATAACATAAATACAAACGTAAAGGTACTATCAAATTAACTTTATCTTGTAAATGTGCGATCGTTTCATCGACTTTGTCCTCAATCTAAATTCGTTTGCAATTCCTGGAATGTGCGTGCACGAACGCGTTACTGTAAAATGAGTACGTTTTCTAAACGTAACACCGAAGTAGTTGAAATTCGAGTAACGTCAAGAGTAACGTCAAGTACCAGATACGGGTAGGCTCAACGCAGGCACTTTTTAATATCCTTTCATCGTATCATAACTCCGAAACGTATGTCATTGTTCATCCTTAACGGATCTGTGCTTAGTCGAAAATCTCGCGACGAAGTACTCTATATACTAATCGATGTATGACGATTTCCGTAACATTTCCAAACGAGATTAATTAAATAAAAAAAGTTCTAGTAATGTCATCTACAATGTTTAGACTATCCACTACTATCTACGTTTACTTTTTTTTTTTTGTATTAATAGTTATCGAATATAAAAAAAATATGAGAATTATTACCGGTAAGACGTTATAATTGGTCTACCTTTAACAAAGCTCTCCTTTCTTAATTTCGAGTAGCTTCGATTCGTAAACTGAAAACATTTGCTAAATGTAGATCTATAAAATTAAATTCCCGTAAAGCGACAATCGATGACAAAGTTCCCGCAATTATTGTCACATTATATAGATATATGTAGAATTTCAAATGAAAAATATACACCGTGGACAGCAAGTCCACCGTTATCAGCAGTGGTTACTTTCATGTCAGCACATGTGTTACAGATTTAGTCTTTTGATATCGTATATAATATGTAAACAATTTGTTTAACGGGCCAATATCAAAGCGTAGAAGTTGTATAGAGCGTACAGAATGTATTCTTTCGTTCATCGTACCCAAACGTTAAATAAACTTCCAATGGATATAAAATTGTAGTAGCAAAGTGTTCCATTAGATATACTAAACACGACTTACAGCGTCCTATTTCCTTTTTTTGTTATTAAAAGTCAGCCGTCGAGCTTCCGTAGACAGAATGTTTACAAACATCGGTCTCTATACAATCTTCCCAACTAATTTTGATTCTATTTGAACTTGGTTCGTGCATTTTCAAAACCTTTCGCAAATGTCTATCGTCGAGTACGTCTCGTTCGATTCGCCCAGCAATTCCGTCCTAATATAAAGTTCGTATGTACACAAAATACATCATTCGATCGATTTTCGACCACTGTAAAGGTGCGTCAAAAATTCGTTTACTATCGTCGAGCATACGACTGGTCGGTAGTCTTTTCTATATAAATATCCAGTACGGGGTTCTAACTTCGTCTCCATCCACGTTTTAAACTAGACCTCGAAGAAGAGCCACTGGTAATTTCGCTACAAACGATCGGTGTCGACCGATTTCTCGTCCCCGTCTATTTGCACCATAGACAATCGCGACGTGTTCGCTAGCTCGGACAGCAAGAGGTTCTCCGTGTCCAGAGGACTCCTAGAATGACCGCTGATCAAATTGTTATGCCCACTGGTGCTTCTGGCCAGTCGTCGTACTACTCGATCGCGCCTCTGCTTCTCCCTTTCCGTCTTCAACTTCGTGAACTCGTCGTCGGAGTTGACGCTGGTGCAAGAAGAGCTACCAGTGCTGATGAGGTCGTCAGCGATCACGCTACCGACGTAGCTGGTGGCTGGCTCGAAGGCGATGCTGGATCGCGCAGATTGGGTGGTTCGCTCCGCCCTGCAATCCGAGGAATTTCACGTGGACAGAGCTCGCGACGCTCGTCTTTATAAAGATGGTTCAAATGAAAATGTATAGAAGACGTTGGCGTTATTGTATGGTGGTGACTAGTGGGAAGTGGCTAAAATTAAATTGGTAGAGATAGGAGATAGTGGTGTGATTATTATTGAGAAGGGTTGGGACCATAAGGTATAAAGCGTTGCGATGAACTGATTGCTTAGGAGTTGAGTTGAGTTAGGTTGTCTTAGGTTCAGAGGTAACCGAGGGTTAATAGAATGTATAAAGCCGTCAAATGGAAAGAAATGTAGTAACCTTGGACCAGATGCATACCCTCTGTCGACGATGCCTCTAGCACCATTGCCGTTACCCCCCTGTAATACGCCACCGGTGACAGGAGCGCTGATCGAGAATAGTTCCCCGTTTCGCGAGTATTCCGAACCAGGAACAGCGACTGGGGCACTGGGAGGCGGTGGTCCCGGCGAGAAAATGCTCTGCACGTGAGGCCTCTTGTCAGATTTCATCGACGTGAGGGTCATCTGCTCGTCCGCCTCTTCTTTGATCACTCCTATCCTCATAGAGCCTCCTCCAGCTGTTGGCAATTGTTTTTAACATAAAATCGAGTTCACCGCAATAATCTATGTTTCAAAACCTACCAATGCCTCTGTTTTGCAACGAAGCTGCGGAGCTAGATGCCGCCAGTCTTCCAGGTGTCTTGGTACCGCTGGTAAACCCGCTGTCCGGCCTGTCCTCCTTGCTGAACAGTCGCTTCAGCACGCTGGTAACGCTGTTAACCCTCGTCAGAGACCCGTCAAGGTTGCTGGGAGTGGAACCTCCGCTCAAAGTGCGATCGCGAGTGCTTACTCGGCTGGCGCTCCTACAAATAAACATATACTTCTCGTTCAATAAAAAACGGACCTTGAATCGTGCCTCGACGGTCTTGTTTCACGACTAGAACAGGGATTATTACCTTGCCATTTTGCCAAATTCGGTGGGACTCCTTGAAGCAAGCGGGAGAAGCGTGAGCGTACAAAAAGAAGTTTAATACGGAAGACAGTGTTGATTCTTATGCACTCTTGTCTTAACAAGTTCCGTGATTATTATTGATCGACCAGAGGAGTTTCGAAAGGAGTTCTCCATACCGTTTATCTTAACGTGTTTTGCAAGCAAACTATTTTAGCAAGCTGCACGAATGTTTTTGTAAGCTGAAGACAGACTTAACCCAGAGATCGAGACGCATATTGCTCTGAACAGCTGAATCCTAACGCTAATTTTTAATTCCATTTTTATGTAGAATTCGCTAAAACGCAGACGACATTTATTCCCACTTTCTAGATGGAAAAGCTGGTCGATCGATGGTAATTACAGAGCTTGATAGAAAAAGTGTGTCGCGTGAGCGTAAAGCGTTTTAAAAGCGACGCAGCTCGAGAACCAACCTTGACATTTTTCCCGTCGCCGTGAAATGAATACCGGACTGAGTGTCGTCGGCTAGGTCGTCTGGACGGAATTTCTGCTGGTAGTCCGCAGCCATTTCGTCGATCCTCACCGAGGAGGGTTGGAGTTCTTGTTGGGCCGCCGACAACTGAATTCCAGCAGTGGACGGTTGCGGATGTTCCTCGCGGAAAGCTTGCGATGCTGCCGTGTATGGCAGCTCCGTGGGAAACACTTCGTCCCAATACTGATCGCGGATCAACTCTGGATGCTCGTGATGCATCTC